TATATATATATATATATATATATATATATATATATATATATATATTTGGTGAGCTGACCTGGGAATGCTCCTCCAATTCCCTCTCTCTCATGATTCCCTAAGCCTCTGTTTTGGCTCCTTCTTTCTTCTTATAAAAAAGGAAGAAGTGGTCAGCATCCTTTGCTGAAAATAACTCCTGTACCTGTATGTTTAATTCTCTTCTCTTTCATCTCTTCTTTGATTTTGTTCTCACTGAAGATAGTGTAATCGCTCTCCCCTTTACTGCCAAAACATCTAGAATAAGTAACTTATGTTTGGTGCCTTCATTTCCTCACAATTTTAAATTCTTGTGATATAGTTTCTGTACCCACTATTCAACAAAATGGCTTCTTTTAAGTTCACTAGTGACCTCAACCCTAATTTAAAATATTTTTGCTTGTTGTTGGTGATCATTTTCTTTGACCTCTCTATGAGATTTTATACTGAGGATCACTATTTTTTTTTTAATACACTCTACTCCTCTGGCTTCTTTCATTTCCTTCCTAGACTTGTTCTTGATTTTCTCTGGACTTCAAAACCATGCCTTCTATATCCTGGAACTCCCTCCCACCCCGAGTTTGGAGTTTTTTTTTTCACCATGGAAGAGCTTACTATCTATGTTACTTGCTCACCTTGTTATATGCTCCATAATGCCTGCTCCCCTTTTCCCATTAGTTATTTCTTCCTGGAGTCTTCAGTCTGTGGAGGGGCCCACACTAACTACCCTCTCTTCCTATAATAATATATTTGAGGTTTTCTTCCAACCACCCTGCATCTTCTCTCTTTTTTGCTAATTTCTAGTCATCTTGTCACCACTTAAATGTGGATATATCCCAAAATTCTGTCCTTCCTTGGAGCTTTTCTTTATCTGCACATTTTTCCTAAGTTATCTCATCATCTATTCCAAAGGTTTCAATTATCACCTCTACATGAATGACCTAAATTTATACATCTTGTCTTATCATGTTCTCAGAGTAGTAGTACAAAAGTTTAGACCTGGATGCCTTGCCAGCAGCTCAAACTTGGGTTCCTGTCTTCTTCTGGCATACTTAAGAACAAAACACAATCTTACAGATTATCAGCTTTCTTTCTCTTACTGAAAAAAAAAATGCAGGTCTTTTGAAATTTTTGTGGGTTTTTGAAACCCATAAAACATTTAAAAAATGGAATGAATTTGAATAAGCATCTGTATTTAAAAAGTAAAGGAGGACTGCTAATATAAAATCAGTAGTACTTCAGTTATTTGTTGACATTGAATTTTAATTAAAAAAATAACCATTTTGTGAGGCTGAGCACAAGAACTTAAACTAAAACATAAAAATGAACAAAAAATAAATTGAACCATTTGGGAATTACTAGAAACAGGAATTGTAATAACCCTGAAATCTAATTCACAGTAGTCTTGCTGTAAGGTTGTCTTTGGGATGCATGCCGGGGAACTGTGACAGCATCTTATAACAATGTCCTCTTGATCTCCTGGTCATTGAAATCCTTTGGATAGGATCAAAAAACAAACCCAACATATATTGAAAAGTGTTAAAGTCAGAACCCTAGTGTTTTCATAAAAAAAAAAGATAATCTTGTACAGTTTGGATTAAATGAGGATAGTGTGGGATTTAAAAAACCAAAACCAAAACCATGATGCATGTTACTGAGTTACAATGTTATCATCACAGTAGTTAAAAGGATAAATGCCTGAGTATGGTAATGGTATTAACTGTAGTTGATGTAGTTATTGGTATTAACCATGTCAAACAATTTAACTTCTTCATTGTTATTAGCAATATAGGTTACAAGCCGCTGACAAACGCGCATTTCTCCTTATGTAATGGAACCAACCTGAGAGACTGCCACTCCTTTCTGAGCTGTTGTGGGAGCTGGTAGTGCTGAAATCCTGTGACTGGTTGTGTGGCATTCTATTAGACAATCCCTCAGCCATTCGGTAGTCAGGGATGTAAAGTAAGGCTAAGGGTTAAAGGGCAAAGGTCATAGTGGCATCATGTGATTAGTTCATAGCACAAGCCCATGCAGATCATGCAGTTAGCAAATTAGAAGCAAATGTCGTGAGACAGTGGAGAAATGGTGTTTTTTTTTTTAACCTATCCTGTCCTAATGAAAATACAGATGGGTGGCTGATTACATGAAAAAGAACTAAAAACATGGAAAGGCTAGGTTGAAGTGATGTGTAGTTGTGGTGGCAGTAGTGGTGGTGGTTGGGCAAAGTACTGTACACATGCCAGTTTAATTTTTTTTAAAGTAGTAAACCTGATAATGAATCACTGAGTCAAAGCACAAATGACTAGTTTCTAACTCATGCACAAATGATATTAGGTCCTGGGGAGTTAATAAGAAACTGACTCACCATTGTTACCTTTGTTTTGATCCGGAAGAGAATAACCAAATCCAATCAAGTCTGTTTTCTGCTGAATTGAACTTTTCCACTGAGGATCAGGCAGATCAACAGCCAATTCATGAATGCTGTTGGAGTGTAGGATCTGTGTGGTGGCATATGGTGTAGCTTGTGTTATTTGGCTTGAACTATTATAAGTCGTTTTGGTGGTGAAGTCAATGCTGCTATAAATGGCTCCATCAGAAAGCATAGTAGCTGTTTTATCTCCTTGGCCTGGCACTGGTGGCAGCACATCTGTGGTGAACATGGGGGAATAAAACAAATCAATGATGCACAAGGAGTCTGAAACTATGAGTATTTAAGATGAAAAATAAATGTGTCATTCTGCATGTTTGCATTTCAGCTGAGATGGTCTCCATGAGCCCATGAAGGGAAGATGATGTACAACCATCGCCGAGCTATCAGCATCTGTGACAGGGCTACCCCTTGTCCTTCATATCTCACTGCATAAAACCATCTCACTTCTCCCACCCATACCCTTCTCTCACTCCCTGCTGGTACTTTCAACCACGAAAATGAACTTTGGAATATTTCACAATTGAAGAATGTTTTCAATTGCTCATTCTGTGTCAGAACCAATAGAACTGTGGGGACCTTATGGAAATAATGGAAGGAGTGAATCTACAGATCATAGAATAAAACATTTCCTGTTACTTCCTCTCCAAAGACATGAAAGAATGGCAAAAAGATGTCTAATTCTTCAGAGTTAATTCTTTTCATATACATTTTTATTTTTAGGTTTTGCTTTCCAGTTATCTAATTTTAATCCAAAGCTGGGAAGCTGGAGGTAGTACTGTGGGTTTTTTTTTTTTTTTAACAAAGGAAAATTTTCATGAATAAGTTATTTTAGATTATAGCAGGATTTAACTACAGAAAGCAATCTCACTGATCAGGCAGCTAATATATACTATTGACTCTTCCAACTAGAGAATTACAGTTTCAAGTTGTAATACTGTTAGAGCAAAATCAAACCACAGAAACAACACTGAATATCAATCACTGCATTTGATCATTTTCTGTATCCTGAATCATTTTTACAGTGCATTTTGTAATTCAGATAAGCCACCTCTCTCCAGTAACTCTTCTTATTCTTCAAAGGAAAGCCATTTAAAGAAGTAAACACATGGCATGCTATATCTGGAATTTTACAATATTGGGATCAGAGAGAGATCAATAATTTCTGGTCAACAAGTTTTATAGTATTTCTTCCCAAAGCAATGTAGTTTCAGATTTCAAAATGACTCAAAATTGTTAACATTTTAATTGATCATGTTAATAAAATATATAAAAAGAAAGTAAATTTTCCCTGGCCCTAGATAAACACAGCTGCTTAATAGTGACTAGACCCTAGAAAGAGTTAAAGCAGCTTTGAAAAATGCTTGGATCCAAGAAGCAACCACTAAGCACCTGAATACTGTTACCATAAAAATCATTTCAATATAATTTGAAGAATTCTTCTTTGGTTAAAATCTATCACACTCCCCCCTTTTTTGGGGGGGAGTGGGAAGAGGAGAACTTCCTATCTCACCCAGGTTGGAAAAATAGCAGCTACTCATGGACCCAATTCCAAAAACTATTAGCAATGAAGCTTTAATCTGCTCCATTTTTCTAACCTGGGACAGTTTGCCATTAGTTAAGTAGGCTGCTGGCCCCTTGCTTCTGGGGCCTTGCCATATTGGTTCCAGACTTAGTGAAGGTATGAGATTAGCATCAGCCCTACTGCAGCTCACAACTCCCATACTCAAGCACTCCACTAGCCTCTGTCTCCTCAGTACCAGGAACTACAGGTCTGTGCCATCAGATACCCAGCCATGCCAGTTCCCCTGTTCTACAATGATATCTGCTGAGCTGATGGGACCAAGAAGGCATTTTAAATTTTTTAGAAGTCTGATACTATGATTTTAAACTAAATCAGTATTCTATACTTAAATTAAGAAGGCACTCCCATTAAATTATACTATAATAAATAAATAAATATTTATTTATAAATAAATAAATGATATTCTTGTTAATGTGGTAGGAGGCAGCAAAATATAATTGCTAGAAAACCAATATCAGACTCAGGAAAAAAACAGATTCAAATCTCACCTCTGACAGAGGTTGTGTGACCCCAAGCAACTTACTTAACCTTTGAGTCATCTAGGTAACTCTTTAAAACTGTAAGTTGCTGAATTCCTTATAACAATTAAAGTATAGGTCTAGTTCCTATCCCTATTATTTTTAAAGTGAAATAGTTTTAATTCATATCAATATCATATTTAAACAAACAGAATAAGGTTTAAAATAATATGAAATCCAAATAAAGGAAACATGTAGAATGGGTATTAAAATATCATTTTTAAAAATATCATTTTTATTGAGGAAACAATAAGCTCATATGTAAACATATACATATGGGTACATGCACACATACCACATGCATACATGGTAAATATGAGAATTATCTGGGGGGAGGCACTATCAGGTGGGAAGATTAGGATCAGTTAGAAATGTACAAGTGCACTACATAATCATCTACATAAAACAAATTTTTGGGCTGGTGTAGACTTCTCTGGTCCAAATTGTTATTTTCATCTCATTCTATTTATTGCACTGGCATTCCAGTTCAATGAACAAACAAAATTCATTATGTGCATGCCTTCAAGACAACATAGTTTATGCAGTCATGCACATAAGTTCTATCACTGCTCCACCCAGTGAATAATCTGTGGAGATTGATTGTCCTTAGCTTCTGGGTTAACAATGAGTACTAGTTATATAGCTGCGAACCCCCTTCCTTTGCCTAATAGGCCTGACTCTTCCAGTTCAAAATAAAGCACTAAACAAATAATGTGCATTTCTTACTCAAATTGTTAGCAATTTTGTTCAAGTCAAAAGACAGGACAGGAATTAGTTAAGCTCTTTTCTTCAAACTCTGGGCAATTTTTGTGCTCCAGTGGCATTAATGGGTTAAATAGATTGTCAGTTAACCTTGTTTTCTTGTTGACAAATTGAAACATATTAGTTCACAGATTCATATTTATGAGGACGAAGTAGAAGTAGGACTATGGGTGTGAGTTGGTTTCTTGTAAGTGTCAGTTCCTACAAATAACTGAGAATTAGAGAATTCTGAGTTGCTCTTTTGGCATATAGGAAATTGGATGGTGTCTGGAAATAGTTGAGAAAGCTAGGACTCATGCCTTTGATGACTTATTTGACTTGTGTTGGTCAATGCCTAGTACAGTGCCTTGAACATGGTTTTTAACTTAATAAATACTTATTGAATTGAACTGATCTTTTAATCAATCAGTAATGGCCAATCAGGTCACAAGTTTTTAAAAAGGGTACACAGTAGATGCAGGAAAACATTTTTGTAGTCATAATTATCACTAATGAAATACTTTGCAATGGAAAAAAGACTGGATAAAAATGGAAAAATTGTTTATTAAGATAGCTTCTCAGTGCTTTAATCTTCAGGTATTTATCATTGTCATGAAGAAGTCAACTTTAGGTACTATGTAAATGTGAACTATTCTTACTGTTTATGAGGATGGCAATGAAATTCTAGTTTAGCAAGGATAGCTAATGTAAAAAAATAGAAATATCTCAGTTAAGTTTTCTGTGAACAGCTTTCTTTCTTTCCTTTCTTTCTTTCTTTCTTTCTTTCACAAGTCAGTTTAGCCCTATAAAAGGGTGAAGGAAGTTCCAACATGACATTGGAAGAACCTGAGGAATAAGAGACATTGTCACTAAGGTACTTCTCTCATGGACAGACTAGTGTCCAGGATCAGATAAGGTTTGAACTACATAAAAGAGAAAAGGAACAGCCTTGTACTCAAGTTGAGAAGTCTAAGAGGTCAGTCAGTTAGTCAACTAGCATTTCTTAGTTGCCTACCATATATAAAGCACCATGCTAAGTGCAAGGGATACAAAGAAAGGCAAAAAATACTTCCTGTCCTTAGGGAGATTACATTCTAATGAGCTACAGCCCCACTTCTTTTTCTATGCCCTATGAGCAATAAATGTAATTTTGAAAGTCATTAATAATAATGATAATATGAAAAAGAAGCATTTATAAAGCACCTACTATGTGTGCTCTGTTCAGTACTATAGAAATATTATCTCATTTGATCCTCATAAGTAAACCTGGTAGGTAGGTGCCATTATCACCCCCATTTTACAACTGAGGAAACTGAAGCAAATAGGTTTCAAGTAACTTGTGTAAGGTCATTTAGCTATTAAGTGTCTGAGGAAGGACTTAAACTCAAGTTTTGACACCAGGCCCAGAACTTTTTGCACTGTACCACCTAGCTGCCTCATAACCTCTTATGTAATTTCTAATTTTAGAATTCTGATGGAGAAAGTAATAATGGTATTAACTAAATTGACACACATTCTATATCCAGTATTGTGAGAACATCATCATTAGCTAAGGAATACTTCTTAATAATGGGAAAAATATGACTAGAAAAATTCTTGGAAAGCCACAATTTAAAAGAAACTTAGCTTTGAAAAACATAACTCACCTCCACGACCAAAATTTCCAATGTCATTTGGCCCACTACTGCTATTGTTCACAGGTAAACTAGTAGCTGGCCATGAGTCTGCAAGCCAAGGATAACTGGGGTCACTGGCATCTAGTAACCCTGGTCGGCTGAAATGTGATGGAGGAAAAAAAAACAACTCAAGTTCAACAAGAAAATTGGAAATGTAAACATTAACTGAAAAGATGTTTTAATCACCTTTTTCCTATACTAAGAAATATTAAAAAGAGTTAACATTTTATTTTCTTTCAAATTAAAATTGTGTAGATTTTCAGAAATTAGAGGTCTTTAATAGTTCATTAGGAGTATATACAATTCAACATTTTTTTTTCAGAAGTGGAAGCATCATATGATCCTGCTAGCATTCAAAAAACTACATTTCCTGCCTTGAAACAGGTGGGAAGTTATGCCTTAGAAGAATCCTAAAATAAGACTGAATAATAAGTTCCCCTCTCAAGGGAACAATCATTCAAACTGACTGCTCAATATCAGTCATTTCCAGGACTTTGGCCTATTTTCTCACTTCACATCACAAATTGTGTCTGTTATCTACAGGCTGTTACCCCTTTTAGAAGCTCTCCCAGTTCTTGTAGAAACAAGCAGATTGCAGCAGAATTAATAGAAATTACTTATAGTTACAAAAACAGCAATAAACTTTCAAGTTTTTTTAAATCATAAAATACCAAATGAAATACCAAAATTCCCAATTGCAAAATACCAAAATGAAGATGCTGATATTTTTAAATGGATGAATGACTTCAAACTACCTAACCCAAAATTTGAGGATAACCGAGGAGGGAGCTTACTCTGGTGACACAGTTAACAATGGAAACCCTGTCTTGATATAAAAATAGGACCCTAATTGTTTTCCAACTTACTAGCATACTTCCAAAGAAATAGCAACATCCACAATTGTACTTTTTTTTTTTCCTGATAGACCCCTTCTGGCACAATCCCTAAGAGAAACATGTGTTTCTATGGAAACTGCAATAAGACGATCCAACAGCTTTTTTGCTGTACCCACTAGCTCTCATTAGGCCTAATCTCTTTTTGCTAAAATATTGATTGAATGGGAGATTGGAAGTTATTACCAGAGCCTAATTACAATCTCCATATTGAAAAAGAGAAAATAGATAAGGATATATGTGTTTATCAGGTTTTATCAATTTCAATTGAGTAACCAAAGTTGTGGAATCCAGGCCTATCAATCTATAGCCTATTCATCATCCATGAATCATTTATTTTGTGATCGATTATGTGTAATTGTTCACTCACAGCAATTTACCGAGAGCCAATAAGGAGTCTTAAACAACAGCAACTTCATTTGCTAATGTCTAATTAATGCAATAAACATCCTGCTAACAAATGAACACATTCCTTGTGATATTTACTACTAATTTCTCCTTGGGCATCTGGGAGATATGAAACATCTGGACTTGATTCCTCCAAAGTGCACAACAGATACAGCATTAAACCTTGTGGTAAGTCATTTAATTCCTTCTAGAATTCTCAGGCTTATAAGTGATCATTTATTACAATAATAGCCTTTTCTATGGAGTTTCTCTCTTCCTGATTAAAAATAAAATAGAATTAAAACAAAAGGTTTTTAGCATACCTTCCATTGCTCATTAGTCCTGCATCACCTCTTTGAAAAGTGACTGTTAAAAAAGAAAATCGTTAATAAAAATTATTATCAGTAACAAGTGCATTTTGATCCCTAGCTCTCAAGTTTCTGGAAGCTTTAACAAACTATAATCAACATAATTAAATATAGAGTAACAAATAAGATTCTGACTAAGGTCCTCAGTCCAATTAGTAAGTCATTTCAACACGAAATATATCATTTTTGAAATATATTTATTAACATAATAATATACTCAATAATATAATATGTCCCTTCAGAGCAAAGATAAATTTTAGTCAATGAGCTGAAATAAATTTAGATGTCAAAATTCATTATTCTCATATTCTTATATTTCTATGTTGATACAATCAGATACCATTATATCATAAAGTAGGATACCATTATAATATAATCAGTAATAATGATACAAAAATAATAATGCATCATAGCAATACAACAGGAATTGCAACAGACCATTTCAAACAGGTGATAAAAAAGTTAACTACTATATTTCTCATCATCAAAGTGAATGCTGAGGGAGTCGAGAACTGAGGTTTCATTTGTTTAAGGAACTCTCAGTGTGATAACTCCCTGTACTGATGCAGATTAGCAAGCAGAGAGTTGACTGTGAATACTTAAAGCTAAATTACATAGCTAGTTTGTGTCAGAGTCAGAATTTGAACTCTTTCTGACTCCAAATTCTTCAGAATTTGAAGTCTTCCTAACTCCAAATTCTTCAGAATTTGAAGTCTTTCTGACTCCAAGGTTAGTTCTCTATCTACTAGACCACACTCAATATTGGCCAATCAGAAATATTCGAAATCATGAGGATTTTTTTTCAGTCTTTGTCTGAAGTTTTTGTTGATATCAAACGTCCAATTTAACACTTTCAGAAGAGATGGGGTAGGTTCTGAAATGTGATTTGTTTCAACAATAAATCACTGTGAATTGTAGACCATACTGATTTCAACAACATCTAGCTGTCATGGAATACAAGTCCTTTCTTTCTAATTATGATCTTTCAGAATAATAAAACAACAAAGAAGAGCATTCCATAGAATTTACAGGTTGTGGATACTATTCAGGTCAATGGGTAAGTTAGGAGGATGCAAAGCCATCAGTCTATAAGTGATTTTCATATATGAGTACAAAAGTAAACATATTGGTATTTAAAGCAGAGATCATACAGAGATCATTCCAGAGGTAGGGGAAATCCCATTTTACGTTATGTGAAACTATGTATCCATTCTTTCTTAAATTGTAACATTGGAGCAAAATAACTAACTGCAAGTGAATATTGATTAATTTGCAAGATGTTAGAGACTAATGAAACTTTTGTAAATGGAATAATTTTGAATGAATGGAAGATTGTAGCTACTTAAAGAATCCATAACTTTTGTAACCAAATCATCACTTTTTTCTTAGAGTGAGATACTACCTACTTCAAGTTGCTACAAACACAATTTAATTTTTTAAAAGTTTCAATTTTTTTCACATTTAAGTTCTTTTTATTTGTATTATCAATGATTGTCCTATGGTAGTCATTTAATGAATTCTTGTTAATTAATTGGTTTATCTTCAAAAATAGTTATCATCTCTCTTGACAATGAGGCTAGGTAATACAAGAAAAAAAGACCCGTCATGGTATTAATGTATCAAGCAGGTCTACTAGAAACACATTTTTAATACTTCAAATCATGCTACCTTATCAATTTTTCAGGTAGCTTTAGGAGCTCATTGTAAAACAATACTGATTAAAATCAATTCTAACAGGACTGCTGATGACCTGCTCCCTGGGAAACATGCAACCCCTCATTTCCTATTTGACTTCTAACTGAATTTGCTTCAGAACCATGAGTCAACAGTATGGCTGGATCACATTTCATTGTATCTTTAAAAATAGTTAATCTGAAAAAGTTAATGAAGAAAAAAATTTGAGCAGTGAAGATTTTAAACCCCTGACTAAAAAAACAAAAACAAAAAAACACGTGAATAATACTCTATAGTTTTTTATCTGATGCATACTTCCTAGGTTGCTTTTTACTGGAATACCAAGTAATTGTTTCACCCTGATAAAGGTGAATAAGCTAATGCTTGGGTGTTATTGTGAATATGTAAATAGATAGTTGACTGACTACCTGAAACACAGTGTTAGGAAATGCATGAGTAGAAGCTAAGTAACTCCCACTAATTTGGATGCTCTTTTTTTCCCCTTACCAAACATTCAGTCACTGTCAAAGCAACAAATGGTACAAATGATACTGCAGTAAAGAAGTAAATGTGGACTAGGACAATAGAGGGATGTTAAATATTTATATTTACCTTTTAAAAACTAACCAACAGTAAGTTCTGTACAAAATTGATCTTTTCTATTTGTGGTGACTAAGAATATGAAACTTTAGTGAAGAGAAAATATCATTCTTAAACACTTAGCTCAACTGGTTCTTGGACAACAGATAGACAATTTGCTGCCATGTCTTTTCTCAAACCCTTTCCAAATAGGAAGGACCTGAAAGAGCATGTGTTTTTCTGCCATAGCCTTCAAGACTATGTTTACCTATGTTTGCCTCTGTGCAAACAATGCCCGTCAGAGCCTGGCCAAATAGAAAGAAGGTTCATCATCAAGTTGGCAAAAGGGTGATGATGTTTTTGACAATCCATGAAGACAGATTGTTAAGGTATTTGGAGGAAAGAGACTGCATATGTTGAGGAAGTATGTGATCTGATGAAATACTTTTCTTTAGAACATAGACTTCTACACTGAGTTGCACGTTTAAAAACATTTTAATCCAATCTTCTCTACTTGTTTTCTGTTCTAAGAGGGTTAGAGCTAAGAATATGTTGTAGACTGAACCACACTGAGAGACTTTAAATAACTTCATGTCAATTTAATATTAGTGGCTTTAATTCTGTATATAACCAAAAAAGTGGAAGAAAACAATATAGCACAGCTTTGGACAGTCTTGTCTAGAATAAACCGATTTGTACATCTGAGAACCATCCTCCTTAAGTACTTTTATTTCAATTACATGCTAGAAAGTTATGGTGTTAAAAGAAAAGAAAATAAGGAGGGAGAAGGGAATGATTCTGATCATCTTGTAGCAACCATGAATTTGACACAGGAAAGCTCGGAATAACCAGTAAGTATTTTAAGACATTCTTGAATGTTTGCATCTAAGCATGATATCCTCCTACGTGAAAGAGTCCTAAAAATGTTAGTATTTTCTCCCTGTTGAAATTAGTTTGTGTTACTTTATATATACTTTGCATTTTTTAGTGGTACACAATTTATAAATCCTCAATAGAATGCAAGTTCTTTGAGAGCAGGAATTGTTTTATTTTTATATTTGTCTCTCCAATACCTAACCTAGTATCATGCATCTTATAGGCATTTAATAAATATTTGTTTAATTGGTGGGAAGAAAGTTGAATTTTAGAGATGAATACTTTAATAACTTTAGAGGAAAAAAGTTTAGAAAACACCAGATGATGAGGACTACATAGAACACCATGGTTATCATAATCCAGAATGTTTTAAATACACTAAATTTGAGGATATTACTGCATTTTTTTTTCTGGGGCATTTAAGTCAAAGAGCTTTTGCAAGTTTATATCATACATGAAGTACCCACACTATTATCTGACAGGGTTAATACTAATCACATGCCCACTAGAACTGGAAAACACAAATATATTGTAAATTGACATTTTGAGGCCAGGAAGCTCTCTGTGTGCCTATCTCTAGTAAACCACATTTTCCTACCACAAATCAAAACTTTAATGTTGCCAGCCAGTCCTCATTCCTTTTTCTGATAAGCTGTTTCTCAAATATGACTGTAGATTAATCCTCTTTTAATAAGCATTAACTCAGACTAGATAATCAGTGTATAAAAATTCCATCAAATCTTTTGGCTGCTTTTGGATGATTCTGTCGAATAATTTATACTTCAGCAGTATTAAGACCTGTGCATGAAATGCTTAGAATTTTATAATTTCCTCTCTAATTTTAATTTGTTTATATTGACTCAGTTCACAAAATCCATAATCCCTAAGGGTAACACACACTAAGTAAACATTCACTTGCTCACAGGTGGAAATACAATTACTTTCAACATTCAGCTGATGGCTTATGCATATGCTTTCATAAAGTGGTGACAGTTTAGTAAATATCAGAATCCACATGAAAGATACATGTATTCAAATTTCTCCTCCCCTATGTACATTTATGCTGCATTTATCATTCAACAGGTTTATTTATTTATTTATTTATATATGACAAATTTTTCTCCTTGCTTCACAAGTCATCTCATTTCTTTTTTACAGTCTCTTCCCACATCTCCATGTCTCTAATAGTTACTAATGTTATTAATTTCTGCACAAGTCAGGAAACTAATATGTAGTACCTGAATTTTCAATAAAAAGAGCAATAGCAAAACCCCATCCCCTAGTGGTCCTGGGAAAATGGAAAGAGCCCCCATATTCTATGGGAAGGCAGCGATACCTGTTTTGTTCGAGCTCCCCTTCTCTGTGCCACGTGCAAACCTGCCGTGCATATTTGTATCTGAGGAATTTGAGTAGAGGGTGAACATGAAAAAACAGGATGTTAGTGTATAATGCAGCCTTCAGGTAATCTCTTATCTTTGGGTGGCTAAAAAGTATAACACTTTTGGGCCAAATTCTCCTCCCAAGTCATTAAAATGCATAATCATGCACAAGAAACTTGATAGTTGCCTGGGTACAAAAGTTTTAATCAGCTGTCATTCTGCCATGTGTGGTGCATGTATATGTATCTTTAAATTCTCAGATACCTAAAAGGGAAAGCTTAAAACCAAATAACAGCTTTTAAATTTTCATTCAAGTGCAATCTAAAACAATGTAATTGCTATTAAATGTAGCAAGGTTTTAATCAACTGTCATTCTCCTGTGTGTGTGCACTTAGATGTGTTGTTTTATATACCTGATACCTAAAAGGAAAATCTCAAAACTGAATAATAGCTTTTGAGTTTTCATTCAAGTGCAACTAAAAACAATTTATTTTTAAATATAGCTAGGGTTGGGAGGTTAAGTAAGGAACTACCAAAGTCTAGCAATTTGAAGGGTATTTATCAGGAGTTACTGTGACCCCAAATATATTTCCCTTCTGATGTTGAAAGTGGGAGACAAGAAAGAGAAATGGGTCTGGGTTTCTGAAGACCAAATGAACCTGTTTCATTTTTTTTTATGTAAAACACTGCTTATCATTTACTACAAAAGGGACAAAAATTATAACTCTTCAGGTGACTATACAGTGTGAGATATTTTAACCCAATGCTAATTTTAACCTATATCTTGTAGAACAAACTGATGTACAAAATCAAGCTTTGAATTCAAATTTTTAAAAAATACTTTATTTCTTTAATTAATTAATGTGCTGATCCCATAGTAAAGTTGTTGTTCATAATCAAATTATATAATCAGCATAGGAGCAAAATTATATATAAATATACATACATTTATAAAAGAACAAAAACTTTTAAATTTTTTTCTGAGAGGAGTAACATCAAAATCTCTCCATTGAACATACTATGTAGAAATGGAAATGTCCACCTAGTTCCAATCTTTCTAAAATTTGGAAGGAATGTACGTGTAATTGGCTTTGCTTTAGCTTCCAAGGCACTTTTTCCTTAAGAAAACATCTCAAAAATAGGACTAACACTAACAGTTCTGATTTTCCAAAAGTATTTGTTGCATACTATAGAAGATAAATCTTGCAATATCTGTATGATGTATAAATCCATGAAAGTGAATGGAATTGTCAGCAAGACCAACACTATATTTAGGACATAATGAAAAACTTTTTGTTCCTTTAAAAAAATTACATTATCCAATTTGTATAATGGAAGAAATACAAAAATGTGTACAAAGAGAAGATGAGAACTTGCGTAGATCATTCCTTTGTGGGAAATAGTTGAAGATCAGAAGTGGATATATATTCTTTATTTTCAGAAAATAGGGTTTGAGGAGGCAAATATGTCTTAAGGAAAACTTTAGTCCTTCTAAGTAATATGCAAATCTTTTTGGAAAAAGATTAGAATAGATAAAATGAACTATCAATGAAGAATGATAATTTTTTGGGGGGAGGAGGACTTCTGTTAGTGTTATTGTTCTGAGATACTGAAAAAAGTATCTGAAACTTATTGCTCAAGGAAGTTCTTCTTGATTTGGAATTCCTATTTCTAGAATATTTAATCCTGTATTCAGGCATACTATCTTTATGACAAAAAAAGATTCACAAATATATACAAGATAATTCTACAGATTGTTACAAGAGAGGAATTTGACCCTTTGTAAAAAAAGAAAAAAATTCCCCCAAACCAAAGCAAAACAAAATAAACAAAAAACCCCACCCTATTTGCCATAGTTATTAGCTTACCAAAAGCATTGGCCTAATAACTGTCAAACTATTTTGATTAAAAGGATTTGAGTTAATAAATGAATCAACAGATGAATAATACGCCAGTTAAAGATGATGTGAGTCTAAATAATGGCACATTTAAAGTTTTCTTTAAGTAATTAGTATATGTCTCATTATTATTATTATTATCAATGATGAAGAGTAAAACTAAATCTTCCTCAATTTAGTGTTTCTTATTATTAAGTAATTTATAGGAATATAAAGTCAAATGGATGAAATGGAATATGACTGAAGAAACACATGGATTGATGGACAGTACCTGCAGGGGTGAAGGTGAAGGACTGGACTGCAAAACAAGAAGGCAAACATCATGAGTTACAGATTCTGTCACCAATCACTAACTGCTGGGCACTTGTTTCTTTAAGAATCCCCCATTTATGATGTGTTACTAGAATCAGTTTAAACAATGGAGCTTTATGAGCTAGTCAGTCAGCAGCCAATGAGAAACAAAAATGGCAGAAGGATGATTAGTTACATTTTATGGTGTTTGGCTTTAAGTTTAAATGGATGTGCTATGATACTTATTTTAAATGTCAGAACAAATTCAAACATAATAACTATGTTCTTTCTTTTGTTAAATATTTGCTTTTACAAATGGATATTTACAATATTATGTTCTAAATATTTTGTTAAGAATAGTTAAGTGTTGTCAACTGTGTAATAAAGAATACATTCAACAATGGACCTATTCCTTGAATTTTAATGAATGTTAGAGCCTACTCACAAAAATATGCTGTGCCAGTTTACTCACAGATAACAAAATGTCTTACTAACATAGTAAAATATTTAGTCTATGCTACCAAAAGTTACAACAGTGAGGTGTGGTAGGAAGTCCTGGAATGAAAGTTAGTATTCATGAATTCTAGTAATAGCTCTATCACTTTCTGGGTAACTTTGGATACATGTTATGGACAAAGTTCTGTTTAGTTCTAAGATTCTATAACTTCTATGAATTTGTTCTAAATCAAACATTTTATTAAATTTGATCAAATATTTATCTATCCTGATGAACATCATGTCAATATATACACATTTAATTAAAAGTTTTTCTTCTATTTTTTTTTTAAATGATTGTGATGCTCTCAGGGTCCTACAGAAAATAAATCAGTGGGTATTTTAGTAAAATTGTTAGTGACCAAGATTATCTGATAACAGCATATTATCTTGAATCATTCTGTATATTTTTCCTCTAGGAATTATTTTTAAGCAGCCATTTGAACTCCTTCAAAATCTACCCCCCCTTTTTATTTTGTTTAAAGGGTAAAGTATTTTTGCAATTAGATATTTTGTGGGCAATTTGGATTAAGTTCCTATTCTCAAATAGGAAATGTTCCAGTTATTTATATAAAATTTTGAAAACTTTTTTAAAAGAGAGAAATATGTGTTTCAGAAATTCTCTTTCAAATGTGGCCCTCAGAGTCACATGTTCAGTAACATTCAAAAGGGTTGTTACCCTTGTTGTAGTTACTGCACTGCACAAATGAATCAAAGAAATAGCTAAGCATTCTATGGTGATGTTTATGATCTGTTTCCAATCTGAACAAAGCCATAGTCTCATGATAATGATTTGATGTGTGTTGAGTAATGCAGTACAGCACTGTGACAGTACATTTCCAACAATATACTTTCAGAACAGATAAACCAAGAATATTCATTAATTCCATTCCTAAATAATTCTCTTTCTCATACTTTTGTGTCTGGGGATTTTCTGCCAGTATACCATCAATTTGTAATGAGAAATAGCTCCTTACCAGCATAATTGCTGAGTCCCTTTCTCTTCTTTCTGCGCCAATACAACCAGATGCTGAAACCCATCAGAATTACCCAGCATGCACCTCCAATACCAGCTATAAAGGCTGGTTGCTTCACGACATCTGTTATTTGCTCAGTTATGCTGTTGTTATTTTCAGTGATGACAACTTCATTACGTCCCCCTTAGTTGGAAAAAGAAGAATTAAAGACAAACATCAAGACACTGAATAGGTATACTTATACACAAATATATCCAAGAGGACATATACAATCTCTTAAGATTAATTCTTGTTTCTTGTTGTGTTTATTTTTTGCTTAAGGCCATAACAATTTCATAATTGGTACATTTTATATAATTGACAGGAATATACAATTAAACACATATCAAAACATGTATTAGAGTCTAAAAAATTCAGCAACCTTCAGTAAGGTCACATTATTTCTAAAAGTGATGAAATAGCAAGAGACACTGAAGAATAAAATTTATCACAGGGTAATAATTGTGTAGATATTTCCTCTGCTTGTTTGGCCTGACACTTTGTCCAGATTCACATATTTAAAATCTATGGTTATACTTGATATCATGTTGTTTCCTTTTTTATCTGTAGCTGTTGCTAAAAAAATGTGAAATCACACATATTTTGTTAGAAATCAGCCCTGGGACAGGCAGTGAAAAGTCAAGGAGTAAGAGACAGAGTGTCCTGTGAGAGGAAGAGCAGGAAGGCTAGTGCTGCTAGATCCTAAAGTTGAGGGGAAAAAAGTGTAAAAAGATTGGAAAGACAGGAAGTCTTTAGGTTGTGAAAGGTTTTGAATGCCAAACAAAAGATTTGATCCTGGAAATAATAAGAAGCCACTAGAGTTTGAGTAGGGGGTATGTGTGACATAGACTAGCACTTTAGGAAAATCTCTTTGGCAGCTGAGTGAAGTATAGATTGGAGGAAGCCAAATATAGTCAAAGTCTATATTTAAGATACATAAAGAGATTCCACTTCTCAGAACATATTTAAAGCAAGAATAGATTAAGATTCTACAACCGGGAGTCTTCCTTCATTGCTCACCCAGGTAAATTGTGGACTTCTCTTCCATGCCCCTGCACTAGGTACCTTCATTACGTATTTCCCTTTACTGTTTCTTTTATGTGTTGTAACATAAGTTCCTTGAGACTGAGGGCAATCTTTCTTTTTGTTTGTATTTGTATTCCCAGTGCTTAGCACGATGATTATTGAATGACTGACTGGCAAACATTTTAAATTAACATTATGATTTCTGAATTATTCAGACAGCTTCAAGGACTTGACTTATTTCATATCCAAAGGTATCAACAGCAGCTAGTATTATATAACGCTTTAAGCTTTGCAAAGCACTTTACAAATATCTCATTTTATCCTCCCTATAACCCTGAAAGGTAGGTGTCATAAGCGTCTCTGAAATAAGTCTATTCTTTTCCTAGAAGCTCTTCATTTACAAACTTGAGAAAACAAAATCAGGTTCCCTTAGATTAGATGATGTCAAGAGTCAACTTGTTTTTTTCTCTATCTATCCGCAATTATCAAATGTATGTGTATCATTAACCAGTTATCTATATGCTACAAGAATCATACATATCTAATGCTTTCATTAGATAAACATTGCACTACTTAGGAGAATATAAATTTACCCCCAAAAGAAACACAATTGTTTGTGAGAAATTAGCAGCAAAAAGCACATTTGATATGTATTTAATCTGAGATATATATGCATGACTCAAAGTGTATTCATTTTTCATATATTGCAGGTGTTTCTTTAACAATGCTGTCAGTTCAACTAATTAGAGCACAGACAAGGGATGTGTGTGACCTATAATGCTCCATTGTTCCAGCAGACAAAAATATAATGAAATAGATTGTCTTCCTCCCATTGGAGCCTAATGAAGAACAAAACTAATTTATTGGACCCCATATTAATTAGGTACATCAGATTTGATTGTACTTATTACTGTGAAAGTTTGCAGCTGTTCTGTATATGATACCAACTATATAGCATGAGCATGAAAGAAGCAAATGATTAGAGAATAATAACTATATTATTAACTAGCATAATTGCAAATATATTTTCTTAAATACCCCACTTGAATCCTGTTGTCTAGAATATTTATTGTATTCATGTATGCAAATATGCATGATCATATTTATGTCACTATGAAACAAAGAACAATTAAAAATAATTTCATTTCCTTATGCAAAAATCACCATAAGAAAGGATGACTGGGACCGAAAAGCTTTTCATTGCTTGTAATAACAGGTAACTAGTTATATGTTGAAGTATATGATATTTCAATGAAGAGATTCATCATTGGCAATGATCAATAAGGAATCTAACTAAAGGAAAAGGGAATATGTGATTTGTGAAGTGAAAATCAAAAAGAAAATGGGAATTAGATCTTACTAAGTTACTCTTCATCTATTGAATAATAAGTAAGTATATGCAGGGCTTCCAGACAAGTTTATTATAATAGAAATTTTGGAATTACTAAGGAAACAATTAAATTCCTTCTTTAGTAAAACAATGCCCAAGGAACAAGAAGTTTTCATTATCAAAATGTGATTATATTTTTTTTCTTTATTTCAAATGTCATAATATTGTTTTCTACACTAATATCTTTGGTGAGACATACTACCATTTTAGTTCATAATGAGAATAAAATTTATGGGACATTTCTAGTTTCTCAGGGAAAAAAATTAATAAATTCAAAGTCACATTTCCAATACAAAGTTAATATTCTTTAACAGAAATACCTATTCAAATGAATTTTAGTACTCATTAATATGAGTAGAATCTTGTTAAAATATGTCATCTAATAGCAAGCTCTGATAAGGATGGTGCTATAGGAAACATTTTTAGCGTAATAATGAAGTGAATAATTTAAAATGAAAACAAGGCTGTTACCTCTCATGTACCAAGAACAGTACACAAACTTAAATATACTCCTTAAGGCTAAACTAATTGTCCAACAATGTAACAATTCCACACGCTCAAATTCACTGGAATCACACATAATTTAGATATATGACATTTTGGATTGTTCAGAGAAATATCTCAGAGTCAAATTATTGTGAAAATTGGAAGAAATAATCCTCTTATTGGACAGGAGACAAGAAGTCAAGTAAATACAGCATGACATTGGACAATTTTCCTTTAAGAAATTGAGCAGTGTAAAGTAGAAACTTATGTTTAAAAAAAATGACCACAATGCAAGGATCTAAAACAACTCCAAAAGACTCATGATGGAAAATATTATCCATATCCAGAGAAAGAATTATGGAGTCTGAATGCAGACTGAAGCATACTATTTGCTCTCTGTCTTTCTTTTTTTTTTCCTTTCTCGTGGTTCCTTCCATTCATTCTAATTCTTCTTTACAACATGATTAATGCCAAAATATATTTAATAAGAATGTATATGTAGAACCTATATCAGATTGCATGCTGTCTTGGGGAGCGGGGAGGGAAGGGAGGTAGAGAAAATTGGAAACACAAAAGCTTATGAAAGTGAATGTGGAAAACTAAAAATAACTTAATTAATTGAAAAAAGAAAACAAATGACCAAATAAATATATGAAGTTATATTAGAACTAGATCTAAAGGGAAAGAATCAACTTCATAGTTCATACTTTGTTTACAAGTGAGAGCTTTTGGGAAATTCATTATTTTAAACTTTTTTTAATTACTTAGAAGGCTTATGGGAAAAAAGTACACATAAGAAGCTTATTGTATATTCAACATTACTAACAACGACTGACTTTTTGATTCATTTGAATTGGCTGTCATCTTTTCCTAAATTCATTACATAATTGCTTTATCATGACTGCTATGATCTGTATTTAATTTTATTGTATAAATATAAATTTCTCTTTGCTTATAAGCTTCAAATACCCTGAAATGCTTTAAACTCAAGTAGAGAGGGCAGATACTGAAAGGCTTCCATATGCTTGGATAAGTGCACCTATTACTAAGGGATGATAGGAAAGAACTTAAATGATGTCAAAGGCATTAGACAACTATTTTACAATCAGCATGATGTCATAAGAGTCAAGATGAGATATATTTAAATAATATCAATCTTACCTAAATATATTTAATTTATCTCAGGTAAATTATTTGAGATATGCTTGTATTCCTTTTTTCCATCCGATTTATGTTTCAAAAAAATTTCAAAATGGTAAAATTACAAAGTTTTCCCTTGGATCAAGAAATTAATTCCATCTGAGAATAACTAACTAAGAACAGGCAGACATTTCAAACAAAAGTTTCATCACCAACTTTTCTCTTGTTTAAACTTAGGAAATTATTATTTGGCAGAAAGGAACCCTTTTCCTGAGAATACATGAGAAACACTGTTTCACATGTTTAACAAATCTTTAGATTTTGGACAAAGGGAGCAGTAGCAGAATAACAGAGTAATATTTTAATTACCTTAGCAAAGCAAAAGGGGGGATTTAATTTGTAGTTCTAGAAATCTGTCAACATGTCTGTCTTCCAAAAGAGAGGTGCAGAATGAAGACAGGTTTCTAGATAGTATAATCTAGAAGTGAAGAAGCTGAAGTCAAGAAGATATGAAATCAAAAGAGAGTGCAGGCTTTTAATAGCTGTGTGACTTTGGGCAAGTTCCTTAACCTCTATCTGCCTAAATTACTCTATCTGCCTAAATTCTTTCATCTGTAAAATGGGGATAATAATTGCACCTATTTCCCAGGTTTATTGTGAGGACCAAAATAGATAGTATATAAGTGCCTTGTAAATCTTAAAGCATTAAATAAATACTAGATATTATTTTCATTATTAATAACATCAACAATAATAAAACTGAGAAGTTATTCCTTTATGGGAATTATTACTGTTGTTGATGTAGTTTTATTAAAATTAATAACTTTATTTATATACAATTATTTTAATAATTTAAACATACTATATGTTCAATATTATTTTAATTTTATTTTACTTTATTATTACTGTTGCTGTTGATAACAACAAAAATGATAATAAAGTTCTCTATGTCTCATTATTGTATGGAAACTGTATGGATATAGGATAGTGTAAATTCTAATCCTGTTGAAAAGACTTCAAAATTGTGTCTTCTTTTTAAAGACCAACTTAGTTAAGTATAGAGAGCTTCTTCATCATTCTCTTGGTGATAGACTCTTCTGGCACAGCAAACCATGCAACAAAGAAAAATACAAAACAAGCATTATACCTGTGTGACCTCCACTGGTTTCTTGGTGATTATAGCAGTGTGGTAGAAATGAGACACATTTTACCAAAAACATTAACATAACTGTTATAATCTAAAGGTGAAATATTTTTTCTTATTACCAGTATCTAATATTATTAGAAGAAATCAGCTCACAACTCACATCTAGGATGATACCTAGACTCATCACTATCTCTCACACTCTCCACATCTAATTTGTTAGTCAAGGCCTGTTGATTTTACCTTTGCAGCATCTCTCAAATACATCTCCTATCCTCTGACAAAGTCTCCTGGTGCAGGCCTCATCATTTCACATCCGGACTACTGTAATAGCCTGCTGGTGGGTCTGCCTGCCTCAAATCTCTCCCCATTCCAAACCATCATCCATTTAGCCATGAAAGTGATTAACCTAAAGCACAGGTCTGACTGTGCCACCCCTCTTCTCAATAAACTCCAGTGGCTCCCTATTGCTTCCACAATTATATAAAAAATACTCTGTTTGGCTTGAAAGCCCTTTATTACTAACTAGTTTCTTCCTACTTTGTCAGTCATACCTTACTCCCTATCATGTAGTCTTCAGTTCAGTGACACTGGCCTCCTTGCTGTTCCATGAACAAGGTACTTCATTTCCTGTCTCAGGGCATTTCCTGTGGCTGTCTCCCATGCCTTGAATATTCTCTCTCTTCATCTTTAACTACTGGTTTTCCTGGCTTCCTTTAAGAGCCAACCAAAATCCCATCTTCTTCAGGAAGTCTTTCCCAATCTCTCTTTATTCTAAGCCTTCCTTTCAATTATTTCCTATTTATCCTTAATATAGTTTGCATTTACATATTTTTTGCTTGTTGTCCACCTTATTGGAATGTGAGCTTCTTGAGGGCAGAGATTGTCTTTTGCCTATTTTTGCATACACAGAGCTTAGCACAATGTCTGCAACACAGTAGGTACTTAATAAATGATTGATATTTCTTAATTTCTTAATAAATTTGTGATATTTCTACAGAACATTCAATCAACTTGGCTACATGATCTGTATATATGATATGTTTTAGAGAGTAAAACTCACCAAATTAGTTTTGAAAGGAAGTTCCAGCAGACAGTTGCAGGTAATTTGGATTTTTTTGGGGGGGAAGGAGAGTGTTACTCTGATCATACCCTAAATAATTTCTTGGATAAATCTCATACAAAACGTCACTGGAGAGGGAAGAGGACTTATTCTGCCCAACCAACCAGCTCTTTTGCCATATGAAGACCAGGGGAGGGGTGGGACATTTTCATCCAAATTAAGTGTAGGCATTAGCTGGTTGAATATTCTTTCTATGCTGTGGCTAAGAAAACTTACTTTGTTTATTATTGAATGACCTCATTTCATTGAATTGCTTCAATTTCTTCCAAAACTGAATCTGAATTAACAGATAGGGCCAGGCAGTTGGATGCTAATTCTATACTATTTCAATACTAACCAATGAGGACATATTAACTGGCTTCAAATATTTGAAGGACCATTGTATGGGAAAAGTATTAGACATATTTGGTGAAGTTACAAGTCAGTATACTTTGGATCATTATACAAAAGGAAGAACTGTAATGATTTGCATTAATGGTTTGGAACGGCCTGACTTTTAAGATGGTGAGCTCACAAGAAGTGTTTAAGTTGTATCATCTGTTAAGAGATTATGGAGGGGGGCAGCTAGGTGGTGCAATGGTTAGAGGTTCAGCCCTCGAGCCAGGAGAACCTGAGTTCAAATCCAGTCTCAGACCAGACACTTGACACTAAGTAGCTGTGTGACCCTGGGTAAGTCACTTAACACCAATTGCCTTGCCAAAAACAAAAAATAAACAACAACAACAACAACAACAACAACAAAAGATTATGGGAAAAAAATGTTAGGTTAATAGGTTGGGTTCAGGATGGCCTACTAGAGATGACACAGAACATGTGCTCACCAATAATGATGGACTGTGGATCACTTTTCACACCAATTCCTGCACTGGTGCTTGCTGCAACCTCTACCTGATACTGAATGCCTGGGAATAATCCACCAATCACTACAGATCGAATTGATGCATCCACAGTTTTATTGATATGAAACCGAGTTTCATTTCCCAAACACCAGATCTAGAATAGGTAGAAGAAAAAGAAGAAACCATAATGGAAAGATCAGCCTGGTAATAGAAGATTATTAGAATAAATGTTAATTTTTAAAGTAATACATATTAATGTTTAAAAATATTCTATGTAAATTTATCTTCTAAAGAAAAATCAAATGTATGCACAAAATTGAAAATAAAATGTATTATATTTTAACATATATGTATATATGTGTACATGTTTGTGTGTATGTATGTACATATATATGTATGTGTATATGTGTGTGTGTTTATATATGTGTAATTATCATAGTATAATATGATCCTAATGGGTAATGCAGCAGGGGGCAGTTAGGTGGCACAGTGGATAGAGTGCCAGACCTGGAGTCAGGAAAACTCATCTTCCTGAGTTCAAATATGACCTCAGATACTTACTAGCTGTGTGACCCTGGGCAAGTCACTTAACCCTGTTTACCTCAGGTTCCTCAGATGTTAAATGAGCTAGAGAAGGAAATGGCAAACTCCTCTAGTAACTTTGACAAGAAAATCCCAAATGGGGTCACAAAGAGTCAGACATGACTAAAAAACAACAATGTAGCAGGCCCAATGCTATCTTATTGCTATGAATACCCTACTGCCCACTCACCCCAATAGAAAATGAAATATTGTAATGTGAAATGTGTGTGAGTTAAAGACACTTCTTGATTTTTTTCTCAATTTAAGCAGAATTTATGCTATTACCCACTATAAAGGATAAGATGTTCACTTCATCTACAACTTGACATCTACAGACAAACATCTCTGTACTACATTTCACTTGAGCAAATATTTATTTAAATGGTAAAAATATCAAAATTGGAAATTGACCAACAGATATGTACATTTTACATATATACATATTATATACATGCATATATAATATATATCTTTATGTGGATATATTCACATGTACTTACTGGTATCATGGAAGACAAAAATAACTGTTGCAGATTAACAATGTCATTAACATGAAGCTGTTACATTTTAAGGAATATGATTTGAATTGTGGAATGGATGAATTTGTGTAATAGTGAACTGTATTAGGCAAGTTCTACTGTATTTGTGTTTATACAGGTATCCACATAAACCTTATGAAGTTAACAAAGGGGATGTATTACTGAAAAATTCCTTGTAAAGCTGATATTAAGATGATTCAACCTTTCTGGCTTACTTTAAAGTATGATATCAGTAATGTGTTCTGGGGAAAAATTGTGTTTCCAGAAAAACATAAATATAACCTACTACCAAAATATACCAGGTCCTTAAAAGGAACCAAGAAGCTTCACAATCAGGGTGGGTGTTGAAGAAAGTAATAGATTGTTAAGGCTCTATTGATAGTTATTATGTATTGATAGATAATTTAGGACACATTTCTTTAGAGGAATATAATAAACAAAAGATTAAACCAATTATTAATAGGGCTCTCTCAAAAGGTTAAGTTGCTTTGAGTTATCTTAAATAAAGGATTAAGTTGCCTTTGAAAAAGCTAAGCCTAACAGTTAAGTCAACATAAGCATTCCAGTTAGCCTAAATAATACCTATCAATTAAGTAAACAGATAGATTGATAAGAATTATATCTTTCTTTATCACGTAGTAATACATAAGATAATTTAGATTAAGATCTACATCCTTCCTTATCATTTAATAAATAACTTAGAGTAAGATCTATGTCTTTGTAAAAGTAAAATAATCATAGAACTATAAGACTTTTTTTTTATAGAAGAGGTTAAATTCCCTACCAGCCAGAAAAAGGGACTTGATCAAAAGTTAAGCAAGTTCACCTTTCCAGCAAATGTAAGTTAAGTAATCTAAGATCAGTTTATCCCTGACAGCTTGGAGGATGGAGGTTGACCACTAGTTTAACAACCTTTCTTTTTCCAGATCCAGTTCCCTTTTTTTTTTTTCTGGGAGCCTCTTAAGCAAGTTCCTTTTTCCAGACCCAGGTCCCTTTTCTCCAAGACCCTCTGAAGCAAGTTCTCCTTTCTAGAAACTGAAAAACCAAGTCAGTTGATCCATGGGTTCCTTAAAGTATCATTTCTGGTTTCAAAATGTAACAGACATGAAGCAAAGGCTTCTGGGGTGGAATTAAGAAATTCTAACTAGTCAAGTGCCTTATCCAATGGAATTACGTTCAAAACAAGTTTCTGTAAATTTTTCAATTCCTCTTTTATTTTATATATATATATATATATATACACACATATATATAATCTATTATATATAAAAATCATTTCTTTTAACCACTTGAGGTCTCTGACATATAAGGAGTCAGCTGAACTAGTTTAATATGCAAATGCAAGTCTTGCAAATTAAATCATATTATACTCAGACTTTTTTTGCCTCAGTTTCTTTTATTTAAGATAATTAATTTTTCAGCATGGGGTGGAATCAGACATAAAACAGAGATCAGAACTTGGGTTTCAATCCTAAATGCTATTTTCCCTTAAGATGGTATCACATATTAGTTATGTGCCACCATGACAAACAGTGAAATGCATACTTTTTGTTAGTCATTTCAGTCATTTCTGATTCTTTGTGATCCTACTGAGTTTTTCTTGGCAAAGATACTGGAGTGGTTTGCCATTTCCTTCTCCAGCTTATTTTACAGATGAAGAAACTGAGGCAAACAAGGTTAAGTGACTTGCCCAGGGTCATACATCTGAGGCCAGATAGGATCTGAACTCAGGAAGATGAGTCTTCCTGACTCTAGGCCTGGCACTCTATCTACTGAGCCACCTAGCTGCCCCAGTGTAAAGTACTAGGAGTGATAATCTTGGGGTTTCAAATATCAGTGTTTATATTTCTTTCTCCTGAATGTGTCTTCATTATATGGAGGCAGTGGTGTTCTTAATGAAATTGGGCATTATTATATTCATCACTTTATCAATATGGATAAGGAATTCCTTTATTATGAGAATGTTATTTGAAAAGTGTTTTTTCATGTGTACTAAAAACAATAATGTAATCTTTTGAATTAAATTCCAGTTTTCACCTTAAAATATAAATCCCTGAACAGAAAATGCCTTTAATTCTGCTAAGTGTTCTGTGTTAAAGATAATAATTTTGACACTCCATAAATATTTATTAATAACTAAAATTACAGGTTTTCAATTATAGGTTTTCAATTTTCACAAGTGTTAGTAAGATTTGAAACACTTATTTTCTTGTACTCTAATCACAGTACATTTAGGATTTTATTGTTCCCAATTAGACATATTCACTATACCAAATACAAAAGACAGCAAAACATAGGGCATAAACTTTCTACATAAAATCAAAGCAATTCATTGGAAAATCAGTCAATTGGTTGTGTTTTTTTTCTCTTCCAAGCAATGCCAAATTAAGTGTTTAATATTTTTTCACTAACAACTGGAACAGCTAATTTAATCTCAGTTATGTACCTCTGTAGAATAAGAAGACCTATGTTCTAATTCCAGCTTTGTCATATATTAGTTGGGCACCTTTAGGTCACAATTTCTCTATTCTGTTGGTCAGAAATATCTTCCTTTACTACTGTATGCCACAAGGATATTCTGAGAATGAATCAAATAAAAACTTTCACTGATATTTTGTAGGAAAAAATATATAATTACCAAACTGCACAATTTCTGTATCTAAATAGAATTTTCTGGAATAAAGTGCATCTAGTAACTTTTTTTTTCTTTTGTTTTATACCTTATATTCCTGGATAATTCCATTTTGATGATCTGGAGGAGGAGGGTCCCAGGAAACACTGATACTTGTGCTGTTGTGGTTTCCAACTGTCAGTACTGTGACAGATTGTGGAGGAGCACTTGGAGCTGCAGAGGAAGAAGGAAAAAATAACTAACCTCATGAATTTAGTTGCCAAAGCATTACTTTTGCTTAAATAGTGTTAGTGTAAGAAGATCATACTTAAAGTTCTAGTAATCCTGAATATGCATGTATTACCCAGCAATGGTGATTTTGGAAAATGCAATGGTAGCCCTAAATGCAAATGTGGTATACATGGAAATTCTTAGTAAGGGAAACTTTGCTATACCTTTCACAGCACAAAGCCATTAGGGAAATATATTTTCTCCTAGTACTGGTATAGAAATTAGTGTTGGAAAAAGTAATCAAAGTTTATTAATCAATTGTTCCCAATTACATCTATATAGAGAGAGATTGCCACCTTTGACCTAAAAAGCACGGTGTTCTAATGGAGAAAAAATTCTGGTTGGAAAAAATACGTAAGAAAGGAAGACCTGAATTATATAAAAACAGTTTGTTCATAGCTTCCATACAGGTAGTCATTCCACAAGATAGAGAATTACTGAAAATCAAATGGTATGCTGCAAACTTTAGGGTTTAGGGCAGGGGCTGGGGAACCTGCAGCCTCAAGGCCACATGTGGCCTTCTAGGTCCTTAAGTGTAGCACTTTGACCAGTCAAAGGTTTAGGCCATGCAGCTAAACAAACACATGAACAAAAACGTATTAGCAGTATATGTTTAGGTATGTTGGGGCTAGGGTATGGTATGGGACAAGAGATAGGAGGTAACCCCTTAGTTGGCAAATGCTCTTCATCGATAGGTATCTTCCAAAGCAAATGTACAAATGGCATAAAATGCTATATAAACCACTTTGTCAATTAAAAATCGCAACAATCCTAAATAAAACAGAAAGCTTCATAGCGCTTTAAGAGTTTATTTTTAATATAAAAGATACGTTATACTTATTAGAATAGTACATTGATGAATTTGTAAACTTTCATGTCTAGTAAGGTGATAGGGTCCAAATATTTGAAAAATATGATGTGATAGTGTATTATATGACAAATATAGCCATGCATTCACGGGCATATGGGCTAATAGGATCACAAAACACTGCTTTCTGTTTTTTCCCTATATGAGAATCTCTCTCAGAAATCTGGCACCATGCTATAAATTCAACCACTTATCTGGCAGTCCTATAGTTACTAAATACACCACCCTGAAAAATTAAATTTTTAAAAGGTGTTTCTCATTTCTCTTGATGCTTGTTTGTAGAGAACACCATGTCTGCCTCATGACAGGTCAATTATTACAATGCTCAAGCTTCTTTTTAGGGGTGAGAAGGAACCCAAATCACTGCTCATTTTTTCCAGAACCTCACTGAATTCTGTTACCTTCAAAAGGCGAAAGAGGTAGGAGATGAATAGATACTGAATTGTGACAAATGCCTGATCTAGAGGAGAACTCCAACTAAGGAGAAATTGATTTTGGAGTAGTCCTCAAATGTAGCATCCCATATTAAATTAAAACTAGATAAAGGATTAGTTTCCCTTCCCCCACTCCAATCTACTGCCCAGCAAACTTCCTTTTCTGCAAAGGCTAAATGAATCAGTGGTTGATAAAGGTTATCTTCTCACTATTCTGGAATATTTATTTTACTTGGATTTCTGAATATAAAAAAAAAAAACTAATAATTTTTTAAAAGGGTGGATTTCTAAAAATAGTCATATACATCTATATATGACTACATTAATAAGTAATACATACATCTATATGCTTCAAATCACAAAAAAAACTATTCCTAAAATGTCTGTCCCTAACTTGTTAAAATTGATGTACTATAAACTATTTAATTGGGGAAAGGGGGGAATAATCCAGTGATTATTTATTTACAGCAAATCATCTCATTTTATATCAAAATGCCTTACAGAATTTTTTCCTATTTGTCATATTCAAGAAGGTTTTTTAAAGTGAATAAATAATACGAAGGAAAAATATCTGACTGGTAACATCACTTTAGTCAAGGCAACACCAGTTAAAAACTACCTTAATCTATATCCAGATCATATATTATCTTTAAACTATGTATAGGTAAATAATTTTTTAAAAAATCACTCAGTAGAAATTTATTGAATAAAATCAAGTTGCCATTAATGTAGGAAATTACTTGGCAGATCATGCTGCATTAATCACTACAAAAAAAGAAATGTCATTCCTTAGTATTCTATAGAAATAAACTAGCAAGGAAAAGACAGTACTTACTACATGCTCCATAATTCCCCTTCTATTTCTAATTTCTGACTCCTGATGTTCAATTCAAATCAATTCAACAAACGCTTCATTAATCCTCTATTTATTTTTTAATAATTATTGTTATTCAGCAAAAGCATTTTTAGAATTATTGGCCCCAAAGGGCAGCCAAGAGGACATTAATAACTAACCACTCCAAAACCTACTTTTTCAACAGAATAAAATCTTTATGAGAATGAACAGCTCACATATTGAGAGTATCCTAGAGGAAAACATAATAAAGGAATAGGTAAAAAATTCTAACGGCAAAGGCCACCTTTAATCACAAAACTGACTAAAAGGTTTATAGAATACATGATCACACTTTATTGTTATATTTTAAAAAGTATTTGACCTTTAAAGTAAACTGCAATCTTTTATTTCTTTTAAAAATATTTTTATTGACATCTATTGTTTTTCTGCCTATATTTTTCAATGTATCCTTGCAATCCTCACCTCCCAGTTTTTTTTTTTTTTTGTGGTTGTTTAGTCATGCCTGTCCCATATTGAGACTATATTTATCATATAAAGAGAGTTTGATAGTGTGCTTTATTTCTCAATTTTTGAGAATAATTTGTAGAGGTATTACTTGTTCTTTAAAAATTTCATCGAATTTTCCTAAAAATCTATATTGGTTTCTCCTTGTTTTAGTAGTTCCTTTTAGGTAGTTTGATTTCCTCTTCTGATAGCAGATCGTTTAAAGTATCTATTTGGTGTTCTGTATACTAGGTTAGTACTCTGCCTTAATTCTTCTCTTGGGTCTCCTTTACTTCTCACATCTGGGCTGAATCAATGTCTGCTGTTTTTTTCTGAGTTAGGGAACGTTGGGGAACATGCTCCAGGCAGAGTTTCTGTAGCTTTCAAGGTGTTTAACTTACGGTCAGGACTAAGTAAAAAGGCAGACTATATACGGACACATTCAAGGCAATATGAATGATGATCTATTGTGAATAATTTAACTCTTATCACCAATACAGTGATCCAAGAAAATTCTGACGGATTTATGATGGAAGGTGCTATCTATCTCTAGAAAAAGAACTGATAAAGCCTGCATGCAGATCAAAGATATTTTTTCTTTCTCTTATTTTTGTGGAGGGTTTTGTCTATGTTTTCTTTCATGGCATGATTACATGGATATGTGTTTTGCATGACTGCACGTGTACAACCTATCCCAAATTGCTTGCCTTCTTAATGAAGATAATTTGGAATGCAAAATTTGAAAAAAAAAGGGATGTTAAAATTATTTTACATGTAATTGGGGGAAAATAAAATATAAAATATTAAAATATGTTTAAAATAATTCAAGAATCCTTGATAGGTATAACCATAGACATAACTCTGATCAATGATCCCATATCAATATCAAATGAGGTATAAAATAGAATCATTTATGCCAGCCTAGGGTGTTTGCCTCAGTCATGGAGGATGTTTGACACTTTACAACTGGAAGATGGAGTCCCTAGAAATGGTGAAATTTTCTCGATGTTCCTATTTGTGAATGCAATTTTGTTGCTTGCAACAAGCCTCAGATTAGTACAAGTACTTAATGAAATTCATGTCCAAAAATAAATGCAAGAAAATCCAAATGGATGAAGACTGTGCTGTGACATATGTTTGGATATCAGTTCATTGAGTTAGTTCATTAGTACATCTACAGTGGATAGGCACTGCAATTCTTCAGAGAATCAAAGAACTGAAAAGGAAGAAGAAAGTGGGCATTTGGGATTTCATTTGGGAAATTAAAATGATCTGAAACTCCTCTTCAGCACAAAATCCCACCTTTAAACACTTATATTCTTTTAGGAGTGATACATGGATGTGAATAAGAGTTCACCATTATTTCTTAAGAATCAAAACTATAGATGAATCGAAGAGAATTGATAATGCATGTTATCAATGATGCCTCAGTAAGCAGGAAGCCCCATAAAAGATATATCCAGGAAATGTGTGATTGGATAAGGATGAAAGCAAGGGATAACAGGTATAACAAACTGGGCATGCTCTGGTACCCCACAAATGTAAAAAAAAAACCTAGAGGAAGGCCTCTTATACATTTGGTAGATCTCATATGGTGGATATATGGGGAAACAAAATAAAAGAAGATTTCATCATATCCAGTAGCTACAACAATTAGATGACAGATCCATTTACATATTAAAGTATTAAGTAAGACACTATACAGGGAGAGATGAAAAATAAATGGGGATGAGATAAGTGGACAAATCACCTCTAGACCAAGTTAGAAAAATGTGCTTAAGACTAGTCAAATATAAAAAAAAAGGGGAGGAGTGAAGGACAGTGTGATTACTTCTGCTTGAGAAAGGTCACTGGATTTGGCAATTAAGACTTCATGTATCTTTGGAGAAAACAGTTTCAACGGAGTGATAAGGCTAGAAGTGATGTAGCAGATTGAGGAGAGGGTACATAGCAAGGAAATAGAGGCAGCAAGTAAGACATATTCTTTATATTTAAGTTTAGAAATACAGAAATTTAGTAACTTGAGGCAGTATCAGAATCAACATTTTTCTCTAGGTCCATACCATGAAATGAATAAATGAACACAACAAAAATAAATTTATAAGAGATGTGGAAAAAAAATCATCCAGTGGGAGAAAAAAGGCTAATATTAAATTCCAGCTAAATAAGTTCAGCCTAATAACCTTGTAATACATGTTTAATCTCTAAGAACAAGAAAAATTCAAACTTCATGAAAACTAACCTTTACTGAGCAATTTTTCACAGGTTGTTATTACAACATATTTGCCTTCATTTCCCAAAGCAAATGAAGGAAAGGAAAATCTAAAAATTTAAAAATCTACTATGTGCAGAACATTCTAAGTATGGATCACTAAAAACGAATTAAAAAAAACAACCAAAAATTGACGTAATTATGATCTTAGTAAGATTTTACATTAAATTTCAATACTGACCTTCCTCAGTAGTACGAGCTGACTTTGATTCACTATCCATTCCTTGAAACTCATTAAAATATGGCCGAACTTTAATTTCATAAGTCACACCTTTTTTCAGATTAACCAGAACAGCACTGCGTTCTGTAGGCACTTTAGCATCTACGTTTTGCCATGTTGATGGAGACTGGAGGCCTGATGTCTGGCGATACAAGACTCGATAGCCTTGTATAAATTGGGGCTGACGATCAACCTGAAAAGTACAGAAGACAGCATTAAATGGAAATCTTTTATGTCTTTGTGACCTCGGGAAGACATTTAACCTATTTCTGTGCCTTAGTTTCCTCCCTGGTAAAATGCAAGGGTTGAACTTTAAGGTCTTCTCCAGTTCTGAATCCATTTGCAGCAGTGAGGTTGGATATCCCATGCAGCATAAGTAATGTGCAATAATGAGCAATTTTGTTATTTGAAATTGAAGAGAAAAGAAAAAAAAAGCCACATTTTATAGATCTTTGTTGTCCCCCCACACACACATTTATTTATTTTATTTTTAAATTATGGAATAACAGAAGCTTTGTTTTCAATGAAGGTACAAATAATATTCTGCACATAGTAGGAACTTAACATGGTTACTGAATTCATTCTATATTTCTAACAAACAAACGAACTCTCTAGACTTTCACTTATCATGCCACTATGGATCTTTCTTCCTTTCCCATCCTCTTTTTCACCTTTCTTTTAAATGCTGTCTATACCCTATTAGGATGTAAGCAACTTGAAGACACAGCCTGTCTTTTTCTTTGTATTTTTTGTTTGTATTCCCAACACAGCACAGTACCTGGGGCATAGTACACACTTAATAAGTGCTTGTTTACTTGTCCTGAAAAATAATTATATGGAACTCTGATTAATCATACTATTTAAATGTTACTGTGGCACAGGTAAATTGAATGCAACACATAATCCCCGCAGCATACATTTGAAATATACTGGATGATTTTTTTTCCAACAGATTTAGCTTTCTAATGGCAAATTTGATCATCTTTAAATAGATCAAGAGAAAGTGAGATAAGAGTATGAGAAAAATGAAAAACTTTTGCAAGTTTAAAAATATATGAGGTAAACCATGTGCAGGGAGTTAAATTCAATCTGTTTAATTCAATTTAATAAACATTTGTTCCATCTAATATATTCAAGGCAGTGTTACATGGGGTGAATGATGGATTTGCCATCAAATGACCTAGGTTCATAAATTAGGGTCTCTCACTGCTACTTATCTATGTGACCTTAGGAAGACATGTAACCTATTGCTGTGCCTCAGTTTCCTCCCTGGTAAAATGAAAGAATTGAACTTTAAGGTCTTCTCTAATTTTAAATCAGGGAGGATGGATATCCCATGCAGTATGTATTAGCATGGGCCTATGTGGGCCATCCCACTGGATATATATGAAGATAAACTTGTACTCTGGTCACTTCTAGTGACACGTAGTTTAGCTGTGGTACTTTCTGTGAATGCACTCTGACCACACCCGGTCCCACATGTGCTCTATTCTCTAACTAAACTGCATGAGTATAATAATGATCCCTTATTGGTTGGTCCCTTAGTCCCTGTGATAGAGTCAGGAAGTTTTGCCAAAGATGATTGGCCACTGACCCAGGAGGAGCCACCTATTCAGTAATTTTTAAAAGTACAAGCAATCTCTACTATTACTTGCTCTTTTATCCTCTTTAGAGTCTTTTTCCTCTGTATTCCTGAAATGGAGGGTAAGAGGAAGGATTCCTTCCCTAACACTCTCCTGTCCCTGGTCCAGCAGCTTGAACATGGCAGCAAAAGCATGTCCCTATCCAAATGCGCCTGAGCTTGCTCCGTGTGTGTGTGTGTATGTGTATGCACACATGTGCTTCTTCTGAGCAAAGCTGACCATACTGATGAGGCACTAATATTGGACCCCTAAAAGGCCCTGGACTTTCCCACATGGCCCAGGTCCCTGGTATTCACCTGAGGCTCATCTCTATAATCCTTTCAACTGTCCTAGTGGATTTGACCCTATCCCAATCTCCAATTCTCTGTTACCTCTAATTTATTCCAGTCCTTCATTGTCTATTACCTCTGGATAGCCCCTGGCCACTTCCCACTCTTAATTCCATCAAGACCCCTTCTCTGTTACTTCCCAGTCACCCAGACTACTTGGCCACTCCTAGATCACATCCAGATCTTCCCACAGTCTTTCTGTATAAAAAGTCCAACTTGCCTCCATTAAATTGCTCACATTTTTAAAATCTAGCCAATAGTGCAGACTAACTAGGAATCTTGCCCACCCCAATCAGTGTCTTAATAAACCTTGTCTCTTACTGAAAGAATGCTTGAGGCAATTTCTTTCGAGGTAGACCAGCACCTTTTACCCTTGAATTTCAGGGTTCCCAGCACCCCTACATCACAACATAATGACAATTGTATGGTGTTTCTAGACTCCACAGCAAACTTGTGAGTTCAAGGTATCAGGAGGTATTGGTTTCAAGCATGGGGTATCAATCTTCTTGCTACACGTAGATTTAGAACTAGAAAAGACCTTAAAGCTCAACCTTTTCATTTCACCAAGTGAAAGGATTAAGAAAAACGAAGTCAGAGCATGTCTCCCTAGAAAACAGGGACTTTGAACAAGTTATTTAAATAGTATAGATGTGACATGAAAGTGACATGTATTTAACAGTATCATGTTTTAATATTTTAAGTATCAACCTCTGAGGAGAGTAAAATAAGAATTAGGGATTATTGTTTCATATGTCAAATATTTGTCAAAACATGCTTATGAGCTTTTTTTCTTGTTTTGAGCATTTTAAATGTGTGTCAGGCAAGCAGGGGGAGACAATAAATAACTGTCAAATACCTGATCAATTCTGTATATTGACCACCTTTCTATAAAGTACCCTGTAAATCTCTTTTGGGGAGATCTGACACAGGAATCATAACTAAGTTTTGTTGATTAGATTTTCCTAAGTTTTACTCTGGAGTGGAGGATTGATGAGCCAGAGTATGGGGGATGGGGGAGTGTTTTTTAAAGGTCAGGTTTCTTTAGGACTGAACCTGATCTACTTGAGGTCCCTCCTTTGAGGGAGAGAACACCATCTCCTCCAGCTCCACCCAGCTGTGATCTCAAATATAATTCTGTGATCCTGTGTCTAGGAAATGTAGTTTATCCTCGTGGCGAACTTTATTCCCTCATAATTAATGGTATGATGAAATTTACTTTTCTTTATTCTGTTGTAACTTTCACCCACTAAAACTAATTTCTTTCCTCCAGAGTAAAGCAGACTACTTTTTCTCACGTTATTCTCAAACACTTTCATAGGTGACCTTTTACCTTATCTTTCCCAGAACGACCTAGGTGGCACAGTAGAGAGAATGTCGGGCATAGAGTCAGCAAGATGTGAGTTCAAATATAGCCTCAGATACTTAGCAGCTATATGACCATGGACATATCACAATCTTTTTCAGCTTTGGTTTTCTTATCTGTGAAATGGTTATGACCCAATATGATACAGAATTCCCCATCATTTCCAAGCTACTTCCATATCACATTGCCTTCACTCCAGCAATCATTGTTATCACTTCCTGCACTGCCTCTAATAGCCTGGGCTCTTTTCATTTTAGCTATCCCAGTAATGGGCCTCCAAGCCTCTCCCTAGCTATCTTTCTCCCATTAGAAAGCCCTTTGAGGACAAGATCTGTCTTGCTGGTAGTATTTGTATCTTCAGTACTTAGCACAGTGCCTGGCATATAGGAAATGCTTAATAAAGTATTAATAAACTCTCTCTCTCTCTATCTTTTTCCCTCTTTCTCTCTCACCCCTCCCTCCCTTTCTCTCTGTATTTAAAGAGTATGACGATCGAGCTAAGCTTTCTTTTCTGAAGACTAAACAACAACTTAAAGTTCCTTTAAGTGAGCTTTGAACCACATTGTTTCTAGTCATTACTAGTCACAATTATTTAGCATAAGTGGAAGAAAATCTCAAGGTCTCTTTGAAGAACTTTAATATGGATTGTGAAACATAGAGCCGGTAGAATGGGACTGACCAGCATGGCGTGCCCCCATCAAAGAAAGTGCTTTACTCTAAAAGCAAAGCAGAATAGCAGTAGCTCAAAAGAAACATGAGATGTGCATATCTAGAAACATCTCCATCCCAAATCTTCAAATGGACTTGACCTGTGGTATGGCCTTTTGAGCTTGGATTGGTCTGATCAGTCAGTCATGATGTCATTTTGATCCTCTTCAAGGACAAACAACAACAACAACTAGTCACAATATTTTGGACAAGTTCTTAATTCCCTTTAAAAAATGTGCCAGGCAGATCTAGTCACAGTACTTAAAATGCAGTCTGATCAAGGATGATCTCCTTACTTGCTCTGAACATTACACTTCTATTAATCTAAGTTAAGATCAAATTATTCTATGCTACCAAAATGCTCTTGAAATGTTTTAATACCAAAGGACATTTGACCTAGGCTTCAAGTGATTCAAGAATAGTTTCCCATTAACTATCTATGTGACCTTGGGTGAGTCACCTAAGCAAGATTTTGATGGAGTTAATATATGCTTTGCCCTCAACCTATAATTATATCCTTGTGATGCCGCCGATGCATATCTTTTCTATGGCTAAACAATTTTTTTTATGATAACTGCTGACTGACCTACAAGCATCTCATTCTATTCTAACATATGTATGTTTGTACGTATATGCATGTGTGTGCATGTGTGCATGTGTGTGCAAGCATGCATAATTATGCATCCACTGTGTCTGTCTTGGTCCTAATTACCAAAGGACTCATCTGTGTTAGTCTCAGCTGAGAAAAGAGTAGACAACTAGGGAGTGGGAAGAGAAAGACAGCCGACTGAAGCAGAGTTCAAAGAGGCAGAAAGTGAAATCAGTCCATTGCAAAGTTTAAGAGCTGTAGTTCTTAAAGTGTAGTCCTCCCTTTCAGGTGGTCTGCTAGGTCAAAACTATTTACATAATAACACTAAGACATAATTTGCCTGTTCAAGTACTCCTGCTTTTTCCAACTACATATCTGTGTGAAGCCAGATTGTTTTCATATATAACAAAAAACTATCACAACAGGTTGAATATAGATACAGATATAAGCATCTTGTTGTCTTTTTAAAAGCCATGAATTAAAGAGATTTTGCGGAGATATGCAAAACAATGCAACTTCTCACTAATTTTTTGTTGTGCTTTGGAAAATGTTTTTCATAAA